GTTCAACAACGAGAGGAAGGAGATCAATGAGCACAAAAAGAGAGCCGTTTGATTCATTCGTGTATGCCTATGTATGAATTCATGGATTTCATTTTTGGCATGTATTGAATGGTTGAATTGTGGATTATCTTCGTTTGTTGAATTATTGAATTGGTGATTAATTGGGCATGTGTTTGCATGACAAATGAGGGGCGGGCTGGCGCTGTCCACAGACGCGCCCGGGCATGCTCGCGGATGTTTAGGGGGTCACATTTGCACAGTCAGGTTGTAGATGCTCTTAGTACTTCCGCCGGTCCGATTATCATGGCTTCTATGTTCATCATGTTTTATCTACGGTGTTTCTAAAATAAATATAATATATGGAAAATTGCTCATATTCCCTACAATTCATTGTTTTGGAAAACAAAATTGTAACAACTTGTGAATATATTTCCTTTTCTGCATATCTTACTTGCACTATTACACAGAACACAATATATAGCCAAGTACATTGCTGTCGAACCCCCACCGTCAACTAGTTGTACCAGACTGAACTTTCGAGCTTAGTCGAGTTGCCATTGCAACAGCTAAGAAGAAGAAAATAAGCGAATGCTTCTACTTGTTTACAACTTCTTTTAGTTGGATGTCCCCGGAGGGACTACTTGTTTACAACTTTAATCAGTCCGTAAATCCAAATGTGATCGCATACGTATTTGTTTTCAGAAATATTTGTACTTGCATAGCTTTCTCGTTGGGATAAATGTATAAACTTGTTGTTTCTTGCTTTCTTTTCGAGCTGGCAAATCTGTACTTCGGCGACAGTACAGTACTTTATCCTCTGAATATTTTCCCACAGTTCTCGGTAGGGTTCGGAGCCAATTGGGGTTCGACAGCTGCAGTGCCTTGGCATTGCGTCCTGGTCTTCGCATAGTTAACTTGTTAACGTACGATCGACAAGACCGCAGCCAGATATGAAAATAGTGCCACGTTATAGCCACGTCCAACAACCATATAAGAGAAAAGAATGGGAAGAAAACTGGGGCCATATATTTGGTCTACTCCCGACGAGATTCTTGTCATCTTGCGCGATGCAGAAAATTATCTTTTTGAGCATCAGTACATATACAAGCGCTCAGAGCCGGCATATACATATACAAAGGCTTTGTTTGGTTGCGTACATTTTTTTTCCTTCTTGTATTTGTGGTTCATATGAGACGTGCTGAGCTAATGTTGGCTTGAAAGCATATTTTGCATATAATTTGGTTGTCTGTATATTGCGTTCCTGCATCAAGGCAACAATTTCTGCCCCGTGTTTGGTTGTCTGCGTATGGGTGTTCTGATGCGCTGCATGCTCTATGGTTGCACACATTTGACTGGTTTTTACTAACCTTGTATCCTATGTGGTTAGCTTACCATCTACCATCCTAACACGTGTTTATTCCATTACATACGATCACAAAAGTAAAACACCATCAGAATCGCAACGAACTGGACCATGATGACAAAGTTCTTCAGCTCACACAACCTAAATTGAGCAGCAACCTAACCACGATGACAAAGTTCTTCCGCCCACACAACGTAAATTGAGCAGCAACCTTGCGAACTTCATCATTGTTGTTTTGTTCGAGTAGGAATTTGTGATGCTCATCATTTACCTGTTGCATTGTCTTAAACCCTCCTTTGAAAGGAGTAGCATGGGTAACTCTTGACCTGTTCATTGCATGTTCACCATAAATTGTATACTCCTGAAACCCCACATTTATACACAATATTACCAATTCATCTGCAGATTAATAGGAGAGCAACGATTCAAGCACCAGACAAAGAAACACAACATCTTCGTCAGCAGTGCATATAGCATGTTCTTTGTTGCTAATGTTCATTTTGCTTGCCACAAGCCGATTTGGAGATCCAAGGCTCCTCCGAGATGCAAATTCTTTATGTGCCTTGCGGTACATCGAAGGTGCATGACCGCTGATAACCTGGAGCGTAGGGGTTGGCCTTCTAATGGAAACTGCCCGTTGTGCCTCTCGACTCATGAAGACTGTACACACCTTTTTGTGCATTGTGCCTACACACAACAGGTTTGGATGAAATCCAGGGAATGGACGCGCGCTGATTTTCGAATTCTGAATGATAGTTTCATCAGTACAGAAGACTGGTGGCTGACTGCGCGAAAGGAGGTTCCCAAGAACGATCGGCGCAATTTTGACACCATTACCATACTGCTGCACTTGAGGATTTGGAAGGAACAGAATGCCAGAGTTTTTGAGCATGTGGCATGTAGCATTGACAGGTTGTTGGATCTAATCAAAGATGATATTAGGGCTTGGAGAGCTACTGGCTGTGTTAGCGATCTCTTTTAGTTTCTTCTCTTTTCTAGTCTTCGTGTGGGCTCAGGTTGGGCCTGCTTTCTTTGTTTCTTCAGAGTTCATACTCTGTCAGCAGACAGCTCTGGAGCGCCTAGACTGTCTTGCCTCTTGTACCCCCCTTACTTCTTATTAAAGAACGTCTTATGGCCCTTCAATCCAAAGAAACACAACATCTGAAAAAGAAACAACATAGACATGCATGATCATATACCCAAAAGGCGGCACAAGTTCGTCCTAACTACTATGGTGTCATCCTACCATCACATCTAAAAAGAGGATGTAATCCTAACACCGCAAGTTCACCAACACCATGAGGGGTTAGTATGTATCACATCATCAAGATATATAGGCCAACAACAATTTTCAAGCCCTACCTACCATTCCAAATGTACATCATCATCGTCATCGTCGTCAATCACCATGCACGACATCTAGGGACGGAGCTCATGTGTGACCACCGGTGTCAGATGACACTAGTGTCGATCGATGCCGATCAGCCCTTAAACTCGCACTCTTGAAAAACGTTTTCTTTGACACTAGCCAGAAAAGGTGATTGACCCCAGCCAACCAGAGAAGTCCGAAACTCAGCCTAGTTTCCAGGGGCGCTCCTATGTCTCGCTTCATGCGAGACAGAGGGAACGCTCGCCTGAAGTGAGCCGAGAGTTGGGCCAGCCCAGGCGCGCGAGAGCCATGACCACGTATTTTGTCTTTTCTTTTTTTTGCGTTTTTTGTTTTTGTTTTTTGCTTCTTCTTTTTTTATTTTTTATACTTCCAAATATTCTAAATAATATACTACCAAAACGCTTTACATAATATTTGAAAAAATGTTAACAAGCATTTGAAAAATGTTAAATGTGTTTAGAGAAAATGTTTCTCATGTATACAAAAAATATAAAATTTGTGTGAAAATCTAATCATGTATTTAAAAAATGTTAGTCAAGAATTTAAAATATTGTTAAATAAGTATTTGAATCATGTTAATCAATTATTTGAAAAAAGTTAAAGTGTATATAAAATGTTGACCATGTATTCAAGAAATATTAATCTTGTATTTGAAAAAATGTTAATCTTGTATTTTAAAATGTTAATCAAGCATTCAAAATAAATAAATGTCTGCAGAATTTTTTTTGACCATGTATTAAAAAATAATAATGTTGTACTTGAAAAATGTTAATCAAGCATTTGAAATGAATATTAAATGTCTTTAGAAAAATGTTGACCATGTATTAAAAATTATTAAACTTGTATTTGAAAGATGTTAAACATGTAGTATAAAAATGTATTAGATACATGCCAAAAATGTATTAGATACATGCCAAAAATGTAAAATCCATATGAAAAAAATAGACATAAAAAATTAAGTTTTCATAAAATGTTAATCATATATTTTCAAAAGTGTTAAACGTGTATATGAAAAATGTTTCTGATGTATAAGACATATGTTGAATCTGTACCGGAAAAAGTTAATGCGTGTTGAATAAATAAGAAACCGATGAAATCGACAGGAAAAGAAAACTAATGAAAACTAAAAATAGAAACAAAAGAATGAAAAATAGAAGAAATCAATGCAAAAGATTGAAACCGGGAAAGAAACAAAGAAACCCAATGTAAACCAGGAAAAAGCAAAGAAATAAAACAAAAAAAAAGGAAAACCGAGAATGAAACAAATAAAAATGAATAAAAAACAAAAAATATGAAAACCGAGAAAGAAATGTCGAATACCAATGATAAAGGTAAATAAAATAGAAAAATCAAAGAAAATCGGGAAAGAAAACAAAGACAAAATAACCACATAAGAAAAAGATAAAATTCGGTCACTTAATAATGTTGTCAATGGTCTAGATGAGAGCAGAAGACCTAAACAACTTAAAAGGAAATGTTGTGTTCGAGTAAAAGTAAATGAGAAAAAAATCAGTATTATTATCTAAAAGAGAAGTTAAACTCAGTAAAACTGAAAAGGAAATGTTGTGTTCGAGTCCGGCTCGGACGCCGCAGAGAAGTTGGCACCGTTTAGTGCTGCAAATCCGAAACCACCAAGAAGAAAGTTCAATGAGAATCGTCATATCTCCGACTATTTATATAGCAGTTTTGCTAAAGCACATCTAAATGTGTCATAAGTATTGCACATCTAAGTCCTATGTCTTTGATTTTACACGGAGATTCGTGTGGCTATTTCCTTTTTTCTTTTTGTTTCTTTTTTATACTTGATTGTATCACTTGGATGTGCAAATAACTAGGGCCCTAGACAAACCCAAAAATGAAAATGAAAAAGAAAATACCCACACGAATCTTCACGTAAGATCAGTGATATAGGACATAAATGTACAATACTTATAGCACATGTGCTTTAGCAAAACTAGAAACAAATACATACTACAAAGATTCGCATACTTCCTCCTTCCACGTACCGAACAGATAATATAACACTCCCACCGTCCCAAAATAAGTGACTCAATTTGTTAGTACAAAGTTGAGTCATTTATTTTGGGACGGAGGAAGTACACGAAGAACTGATAAGCAACAAGACACGAAAGAAACCAAACTAACCCAATCTTGTACCCATCACGAGCACTTTTCGCCCCTCTCCAAGTTTGATCAAGAAGCTACATTAAACCCATTAACAGTCGCGCAAAGGGCGCCCTCTCCGCTATGCCACGTTGGTTCACTGTGCTCGTCGATTGGGCAAGTTGTGTTGCTTTCTATTGGCTGGTCGTGGCTGATATACCCAAGAGAAAGCTTACGAGGGAAGGGAAAGAAGGCCTCTGTACGCATGAACCCCACCTTCTCCATCCCTACACGCAACCTCTTCCTCTCCTCCGCATCTTCTGTCAGGGGCCCTTGTGGCTGCAGCAGAGGGCAGTCAAGGGGGCGAGCAGGATGGGTCCAGCCGATTTCTTCGCCGGATCTGGAGCCCAGGGGCGACGCCGACGAGCACGCAGCCACGCCAACGTCGTTGCCTCGAGAGAGGAGTGGGTGGGAGGAGAAGGCGGCGGCGGCTCGAGGGCAAGGGTCGGATCTTCTCGCCTGATTCATGGCGTAAGTGGATATGGGTTTTGGTATCGATTCCCTTTTCTAATTCAAGTTCTTGCGGAAGTCTCGTACAGAATTGGCGTTCTAACTTTATCTCAGCGGATCTATTTTTATCAGAGTTTAGAAAAATCCTCTAATCACAAGTTGGAACCCGATTTGCTTTCTTCCCTTCAGACTCCAGTTCATGCAAAAATACGAACATAGCTTTCCTGTACCCAAGACCAAGAAACGAGCGTTTGGAGTTACCCTGTTCAGAAAAATAAGCTGAACATTTTCTTTTCATTTTTGTCCAGGGCATGCTTGATCGTATTACTCTTAATTTAGCACAGTTCTATGTTTATTGGAAAAGTACCAGTTAATCAGTAAGTCGGTTCACTTAGCTGAAAATGACACTAAAGGTCTCAACAAGTGTTACTTGCTGCCCAAAATCAGCAGTTTCCAATTTTCTCCTCAATTTCTGCAAGGAAAAGAAAGACGATAGTTATTTAGACCCGCCCCCTCCTTTTTCCAACTCCTCCCTCTTGATTCCTGGGTGTTATCTTATCAAATCGAGGTGATTTTAGCTTCCCCTAAAGCAACGGGCTCATCGCCCATGCCCATCCTCCTCGTCTCGTTATCGTCTCCGTTAGCAGGTGAGATATCATGCTTCCTCTCTGGTCTCGATTTCGTGTTGCTATTCTACTGTGTGTTGTATGCCAAAACTTATTGGAAAGCCACGTGGCTTTCAGCAGTCTGCACCCCACCAAGGTGTGGTGGCCGGTGGAGTTGACTTATTAGCTCGCATGCACTTGCTTAATTGATTCTGCATGGCAGCGATGATTTATGTTGGTTTTCCATGACTAGGTGATTGTCCGATGGGTTATGCATCCATGCGTGTAAATAATCAGGTTTCTGGCAAGGACACATGACATGATTATTTCTACTCCCGCATGTACTCTGCTGTATTTTATACCAAGGATGAAAGCTAGAGGTGGATGCAAATTTCTTGCTCATGGGTTGTTAATGAGGCAACCTTCATGGTGAATTTGTTTAAACAATAGAACAATATTAAATTCATTCTATGAATTAATAAGTAAAACATCTTTTCTATTCGAATTGAATCTATCCAAGGAGCCTCTCGGGCAACAACATCGTCTGCTTCTTGTTTCAATTATAAAGTTTGGGCTATCTAAACCTGAAAAATTCAGTGATGTATATATGGACAGTATGAGTTTCACTATTATACTTGAAAATGATGATGTGTTGTTCTTTCCCCTCTCGCACCTATAATTATGAGTTCACTAATTACTATTCTTATTCCATTATGTTCAGTATCAAGCGGGTTTCTCTTGATGTGTACAATAGTCGAACAAATTTTTTATGGTATGACTTTTTTCATATCAAGCTGAAACTAGATTTATTTGTTGGTTGTGTTGTTCATTATTTCTTCCTTTGCTTGATGTTCAGCGTGTTGATGCTGCATGGAAGCATTGGAAGCGAAAAAAACCCTTCACATACCTAAATGTAAGTGAATCTCCCCGTCTTAATTTAGGTTGACCTTGCAGTCTCGCTTACCCGTTCTGCTTCGCCCATCGTTCAATGTAGTTTATGTTGAATAGCTAGGTTGGTCCATGAGATCATATATTGTACTACCGTTTATTTAACCCAACTGCTACATTGAATATTGATAATCTGAACACAAAATGTTGCAATTTTCATTTTGAACTTTTCTGTGCAAGTGGATAAAGCTAGGTCTGTACTTCTGGACCAAAACCAGTTTTGCATGGTCATTTCTTTAAAGAAAGGTTCAGAGCTTCTCAGAAGGAAAGGAAAATACCACCTGAACTTTTAGCTTTCCACATATGTGTGATCACTTGCTGAGTTTTCCACATCATAAGCTTTTCTTATGAGTTTGTGGGATTTTAGTTTTTTCAGGTCTCGCAGTTCTGAGATTTAATTCATGTGCAACCGTCACAAACAGATCTGTCTTGCATTCTAAATATTGCAGCCTTGAACTTATTTACATTTCAGTTAACCTTTGTCCACAAGTGGCAGCCAGTTTTCTGAATCTGTAAATTGTAGTTGAATTCTTAATACATCTATGCCATCTATAGAAAAGCATGACCTCCCGTGCCACTGTGCAACACCACAACGATGAACATCACTTGGCAAACAAGTCTCGAATCAATTTCGATTTGCGATGGTCTGCTCAGAGGGCGTTCTGGCGATGTGTGGTGCTGTCCTATTTAGTAGTGATGTATCTCTTCTACAATCTTTTGGTAATTTTGTAGATTAGGATGTTTAATTCTTTTTCAATGATAGTTTAATAGTAGTCAAGATATGGGATCTGCATGTCCATTTTATTTTAATGCATATATATGTTTTTACTCTTAATTACATCTCTGGGAGTATTATGCCCATTCAAGAAGCAAAAGCCATAGCCTCTCCAACAAGGTTTTCAATATAAAGGGGGAAATTTGAAGGTGTATAAGGTAAATATGCAGAGCTCTAGGTATATTCCGTAATAAATTTTCTTTATACATTTCATTATAATTAAAAAGGAAATACGAATGAGGTGCCTGTTGTCAGTTGCAATCACAAATCTAAGAATCCCCCTTTAAATGTAATTGATAAATTGATCAAAGAGTAATTGTTTGCCTCCCTTCCCCCACTGCGTAGAGAGTGTGAGAACCACACAGCTATAGGGCTAACCCTGAATGATTGCTTATCAATTTCAGCTACTACAATTATTGTGTAGATTCAAGTAGTGTGTTGTAGTTACCATGTCATTTATTTACACAAGAGAAGTTTTTGTGAAGCACCAGCATAGGATAGCTTTTGAAAGTTTTGGGAAGCCCTGAAGGACATGTTTAGAAGTGGCTGCATAGATGGTATGCATAACATTGCTTTGCAAACCTTTAGGATGCTAGATTGAATCACTAGGAAGAAGACTAATGGTGGCATGATATTGTGTTCTGTCATGCCCTCACTCCTTTTCCCTCTTGTCAACGGTACTACTTTCAGGTGAAATACGCAGAGAACAATTTGAAGGAGTACATCCACGGAGACGATGATATCCTACCAGTCAAGCTTGGAGATGGACCACCATCACGACGATCGCTTCATGCTTGGAACTGACAAGAGGGCCACCATCACGACGAACTAATCATAGTTTCGCCACCACCCAAACATCCAGCAAGGTGACATCTGCACCTTCCTTTTCAAGCACAAGCAAGGGCGCTGCCTCTCTCTCTCATGTGCACCGTCTCTAGACACACCACCGTCAGCGGCATCTATCGTCTATACATATGATCCATGTATGGTCTTTAGTTTCTCTCTTATGACTTAATATGTCTATGCTCTGATGACCCAGTGAACTATGTATTTAGTTTCTCTCTAAGACTTAATATGCCTGTGCTCTGATTATCCAGTGAACTATGTCTCTCTTTTGGAGATCGCCCACCTTTGGGAGGATGGTAGAGTTTGATTTCAACCGATCGCCATGCTCTGTGATACCTTTTAGAGGATGTTGAGTTTGATTTCAACAGATCGCCATGCTTTGTGATCAGTCATCCATCTTGTAAGACTGTCACCTCCCTGTTAAAATTGACATGCGTGCTTTATGAGCTAATATTGTGCTGCTGCAGTTCTACTTCATGTATTCTCTTTTAACAATTGACACTCACTTGCGCTGCATAAACACGTTACCAAATGCTCCAGCAAGATTAGTACGCACAATACCGTAGAGGAGGAGTAAGTATACTACATATGTGGCCGTGCTAGGCGGCAGAAGGCTAGAAGCTGTATAGCAGCAGAGGCCCACCAGTTGAGGCCATTCGATTGCCTAGGTACCGTGTAAGAGCGAGTCCGGCACGCCGTTGCTCGCAGACCGCCGTTCTTGTCGTACCGGAGCTTAAACGTCGTCGCATAGAACAGGTAACGCGAGTCAAGGACGTCCGTGGGCACACCTCTCCGCGACCGGTGCTCGACGAGGCAGAACTTGCCGCGCCCCATGCGCGTGAGCGTGACGGTCTTGGTCCTCTCCGTCTCCTCGCACACCATCTTCTCCCTGGCAAGCTTCCATGCCGGGGCCGGCAGTCCTTCGTCGTCACCGGCAGACACGACGTCGCAGGAGCATAGGATACCTGGCTCGGCAGAGACCCACCCATGCATCCACCTCGCCGTCGTAGTAGGCCTGCCCTTCGAAAGGCAGCATCCAAGTCGGCGCAGGACCGGCGGTACGGGGAGGCGACTGGCCTGCGAGTCCAAGTCGGCGCCAGAATCGCCATCCAAGTCGGCGACGTCCACCTTGTATATGCTGTAGCCCTCGGTCCAGTCGTCCACCGCGATGTACAGATGATGCCGCCGGCCGTGTGACCGCCTGGACCTTGGACCGCCCTCGTCGTCGGACCTGCGCCGCTTCGACATGCCTTCGCTTCTCGACGCTATCTCCGTCCGGTATGTGTGAAGCGGCGATCCCGGGCGATGTTATCTAGCGAGAAATTCTTGAAACCGGTCGACCATCTCCACCAACTATATATACGGTGATTCTCACGGAACTTTCTTCTTGGCGATTTCGGATTTGCAGCACTAAACGGTGCCAACTTCTCTGCGGCGTCCGAGCCGGACTCGAACACAACATTTCCTTTTCAGTTTTGCTGAGTTTAACTTCTTTTTTAGATAATAATACTGATTTTTTTCATTTACTTTTACTTTTTTGCGGGGTAAAGGAGATTTTCATTACTCATGGGGGCCACTCAGCCACAACTAGTCCTGGCCATCTCCGGCCCGGCCCTAAAATCCAGGGCCTAGGCCCGATGGGCTTGCCCGTGGGCTGGGCTTGGGCCTGAGTTTTGAGCCCACTAGCAGGGCCTGGACGGGCTTGGCTTGGCATATTGGCATTTTAAGGAAGAGGCCCGGCCCACGGCCCTAAGCTCTAAGGGCTTTTTACCAGATGGGCCAGGCTTGGGCTTGAAAAGTAGGCCCGATGATAGGGCCTGGGAGGGCATGTGCCTCAGTTTTCTGCCATGGGCTTTTGAAGGCTCGACGCATGGCCAGATATAGCCACAACCAAGTTCACGGGGGCCTCTCACGCGAGATCGGCGACCAGCACGTTATCACATGTACGGAGTTCACGGCAAGTGCTGAATATGATGTTTCCCTGAGTATCCCGGAGGATCATCCCACCTCCTGCCATACCTGTTGTTGGGGAACGCAATATTTCA